TTAAGAAAAAGAAAATAATGGGAAGTGAAAATGTTTTCAGCTCCTCTTCGGAGAGGGGGACCCTTTGCAGGCTGCTGCAGAGAGGTGGCACCTGCGCAGGGGCCAGGCTGGTGCGGTGCTGGGTGCTCTCGGTGCGCAGAGCAGCTCAGGTGTTAGAGCTGTGTTTCCTCCCTTGTTTGCTGGACTGATTTAGATAGGATCATGGAGACTAGACACCACATAGCAGTTTTTAGAGCTTGTAGAGAGGGAGAATAGCAGGAAGGGCTGTCCGATTTTCCCCTTAGCCATCATTTCCAGGACAGTGAGTGGAAGCCTGCAATCTCCTACTGTCCTTCAGAGACCTCTCCTTTTTTCTGTTTTATGCTGAATCCCTATTCACTATGCTACAAGTTCTCTTGATGTTTTACTTTTATTTTCCATCCCATGCAGACCTCTTTCCTTCCCCCGCCCCGAGGCTCCAATCCCTCTTGCTGTTTTGTGGTAATTGGGGTGGTCTCTCTCCTCCCTCACTCCTTTTTTCCAGTTATCCCAGTTGTCTTTATTTACTCCTCATACTCTCCTGCTCTTTATTCACCCACACCTATGTTTCTCTTTCCTTTTCCTGTCTTGCACGCAGCCCTGTTCCTCTCCTCTGTTCTTTCCCACCCTGTTCTTTAATGCCGTGCACCATGTAGCCTGTTTTCCCATTGCTAATCTTGCTCCGTGAGGTTTCTTACATGAAGCAAAGAAATCCTTGGTGCCTTTGCAGGCATTCCTCTCCTCCTGTTGCTGACTGTCCCTCCCCCCCACCTGAGCGGAGTCGAAGTAATTAAATTTCTCTAAATAGCTCTTCTCCCCCTATATGCCTGACTCTTGCCCCAAGCCAGCTCCTGCCAGGCAGGAAGGAGGTGGCCGAGCAGTGGGTTCCCTTTGAGGCAGACACCCCTGGCTGCCTCGTGGATGGGCTTAGCAGGGGGGTTTCTCCATCAGCCTTTCCAGAGGGTCAGCGTGCCTTCCAAAGCCGGCGCGAGCACCACCGGAAGCTGCTGCCAGAGACTGGCATTGCCCCCAGGCTGCCTACGGAGCTGCAGTTAATATCTTCCAGGTTTGCATGTTCAGCATCGTAACGCAAATATTACAAAAATGATTTGAATTCCAGTTCAAGTTTGTTTATCAACTGTCCAAACTAAATGAAAAGCAAAACTTCTCGTAGTACCCGACTGCCAAAACCTCCTGGCTAGAGACAGGTCTCCAAGACACAATCTCTCCTTAAGCCTTATATGATGAGGGAGGAAAAGAGGCGGCTGCTGCCCTGCCCCTCCCCTAACCTCCACTTTTTGGAACCTCCCTCTCGCCATGAATAACTCCAGTGTCTGCCACTGGTGCTGGGCAGAGCTTTGCCAATCATCCTCCTCAGCAGGAAGTGGACATGATTTTGATAGTGTCACTCTACCACACACGAGACGCTGAATAGCAGCAAGAAAACTGAGCAGTTTTGTTAATCTCGCTGGTGTTTGGCAACCTCTCAGCAGCAGCCACAGAGGCACTACAGCTGTCTGTCTGCAGCCCCAGGAATACAATGCTGCATTATTTTATATTCGGCAGATCATCTTTCCAATCATAAGGTCTGGAATGTTTTATATATTTACTTCTCCATGAGGAAAGCTTCCTACTGTCACTAATCAACAGATTTTTCAAGACCCGCTGTCTTGTGCATTACAGAGGTAAATGAATTGATATTTACAAAGCACTTTGGGGTCCTAAGGTGGAAGTACAAAATATTGTGTGTATGTCTTGGAAAGGGCCTCGGAATAAGTTGCATGGTACGGTGTCATTCCCAGTGATGCAAGCCCAACCACATCCTCCATCCAAATCCTCCTGAAGGCTCACTTTTTTTCCCCTCTGATGTTCACAGATGTTAACTCACATTGATCCTGCTCTCCCTTCTCCAATATTATTTTGGTGGAGAAAAAGAGAATAAAATAATAAGCATAATGCAAAAAAAAAAAGATACAATGAAGCATTTTAACACTGTGTCCCTCAGAGTGCTCTACTTCATCTGTCTCATAAATAACACACATTTAAAATTATAGCAATGCACTGGTAGTAAACCAAGAGATGTTATCCTTTAGTGTCTCACACGTGGAGAAAAAGAGAATAAAATAATAAGCATAATGCAAAAAAAAAAAGATACAATGAAGCATTTTAACACTGTGTCCCTCAGAGTGCTCTACTTCATCTGTCTCATAAATAACACACATTTAAAATTATAGCAATGCACTGGTAGTAAACCAAGAGATGTTATCCTTTAGTGTGTCTCACACTGAGCTCTTCTTTCTTTTTTTTTTTCTTTCTTGTGTTTAATTAGCATTAGTAGTGTGCCTAGGTTGGGCAATTATGGAGCATAAAACCTGTGCCAGGTGACTTGAAAATGTTAGTCCCTCTCTTTGGAGTATTTGCCATCCAAATCGGAGAGAGCAGGTGCCAGGAGGCAGCGTAGCAGCAGTGAGTTTGGGCAGCACGGCAGGTGACAGCGGTGGCTTTCTGACAGCCCAGCTGTTGTCCAGGTTTCTCAGGACGTACAAGGGGAGATGGCCGAGATGCTGCCTCAGCACCGCTGCTTCCACCGACCGTGCAGCCCTTCCACATCATTGCCAGCTGCGGTGCCACCTCTGCATGTCGTTATTTATATTTCTTTTCTGCACCAGCCCAGCTGCCTCTCAGGGCACCTCCACCCAAAAGTGGTGACTTCAGCCCTGTGGAATGATGAGTGGGTTATTCTGGAGAAGCAGCTCAGCCTGGACTGGTGGCAGCGGGAGCTGGGGCTGCTCTGCGGCCACAGCTGGGACGCTGCATAGCTCATTTCCCAGAGGTGGCTACCAAGTCTCTGGTGTTGAGTGTGTTGCCATGCCCGGGTACAGGGCCAGGAGACGGGATGGTGTCACTGACCCAGCTTAGGAAATGGAGTGGGTGAATGGTGGTTTGGCAGAGCTAGCAGGCAGAGGATGAATTTAACTCAGAGGTGCAGCCACGGGCCTCGGGATGAGCCCGTGTAACAAAAGATACTATTGCAAAGTATTGTTAAAACAAAGGTGTCCTGGTTCCTCTCCAGGAGGGAGATGAGGTGTACTGGCACATGGAAAAGTGGTTATGAGAGAAGGGGAAGAAAGGTCAAATGAGGATGACACAGACCTGAAAGCTGTCAATACCTGGTGCTGGAAGGAGTAGAGCTAGAAGTGTGTGCGGGGAATATTCAGCAGCACAGTGGCAGGCACATGCCTGGGACCTTGTGATACCCCCGAGAGGGGCTCACAGTGACCGTCACCAGAGGTTTTGTGCACTGCTCTGTTCTGATACGCCACAGATGCAAACAAGTGCCCTTTCTCAGACAGATGCATGGCACAGTCAGGAGAGAGAGGCTACAACTCTTGTCTGACTCTAGCTTTACAGGTGACAACCAGCATTTCATTTGTTCCTTGCTGAGCTCCTCCAGCCACCTGGGCCGGGTTGCCCAAGAGCTGGGGCAGAGAGTGCACGGACCGGCTCCAGAAGCCATCAGTATGTGGATGAACTTGTGTGGCAGTGGAGAGGCTGGAGCTTGGCACGAGTCTCTCTGTCAATTTGAATGAGCGAGAAACCGCACGGTGACTTGGGGGCCAGCCTGGCCACCCTCCCTGGTGAGCCGCGGGTGAAGAGAGCAGGCTGGGCTGTGCGTACCTGGTGCTGCGGGGGGCTCCGCGGCGGTGCCCAGCAGCAGCTTTGCTCGGGGCCCGCCGGCCGGTGCAGCGGCGGGGGCGGGCGGGCCCCGGACCCCCCCGGGGT